GGTCATTTTGTTTATTAATTCAGGGGTCTTGGTTTATTTCTAACAATTGCCATAATTTGGAAAGAATTTTTAAAAATAATTCTAAGATTAAAAATAGAAAAAACCCCACCAAATTGCATAAAGGAGAAACGTTTCTTAGCCTACTTTTCACTGTTAGCGTATAGGGCTAACGGCACTGAGGAAATGCCCTGTTCCTCCTTGAAATATTGGATGCAGGACCAAGCACAGACCCTTTGAAGAGGCTCAGCCAGCCCTGCAGAGCAAGAAGCGTTTGTTTCCAGGACAGTGTTGCATGTTTTCCCTTATTCCTCTCGAGTAGAATGTTTGTTACTGAATGTACTGCTCTGAGCAATAGAAGTAAATTTTAAGCTGAGAATGAAAGGGAAGAGGCTGCACTATCCCATACTGCTCGCCAGTTATGTTTCCATCAGTAAGAGTTTTGCAAGAGACTGATGGAGCCAGGATTACAGCTTTGATCAGTTTGCTCCTGGTATTAATGTCCTCTGGCTCTATCAAATCAGGCTGATGTAAAAATTAGAAGGAAACATAGGAAAAGACGTAGCAAGTGGTGTTAAAGCCATCTGCAAGTTTAGCACATTTTTATCCTTAGCAGCAACCCCAATACTAGGAAAAGGGGTTTTGCTAAACCTTCTTATCTACTAAGAAGCAGCTTCGTGGTTGCATGACTAGGTGAATGATGTGGAAAGTGTTTTCCTAATAATGGGGCGACTAGCAATCATGCAGAATTTCTCATAGGAGAAAGGATGTCTTAAGCTAATTCTAACTTGGCTAATTTCCCCTTGAGCCCTCAATTCTACATAAATGCTCAACCACAGGCACTACCCCAATCACCTATTTAGCCTGATTTTTGTGCCCAGTGGTGTGCTCTGTTGATTCTTGAGCACAGTCTGGCTCTGTACAGGCCCTAGACTATCCATCGTGACAGTCCATGCCTTAGATTTTTGCAAAACCTGCTTGATTTGTGAGATAAGGTGTAAAATACTGTTACTACAAAGGTAGGATTCTGTTGGAGTCTTGAAAAAAGATAACAAAAAGGGCACGGGGTGAGCCAATTGTTTTCTTGATTTAGGAAAATATAGGAAAAAAAAAAAACAGTTAACATGAGGGTTTCTTAAGCTAGCCTAGAGATGAAGAATAATTTAATATCTTTTTGTAAGATCTTAGGTATGTTCCCCTGTTCGGTGGATGAATGCTCTATCCCACATTGCCCTCTAGCGATGACATTGCAGAGCAAATAATGCCATCCAGCCTGCAGCTACCAGGATGTAAAATGTGGTATTTTAATAACTGAAGCCATGGCTTCTTTCTGAAGTTGTAGTTTGTCATGTGATGCAAATAGTGTGAGAAGGGGCAGCAATCGTCTCTCACAGGTGCTGGTGTGTGTACCTGCATTGGCTACAGCTCTCTTGACATTTGCTTTTTGTTTGAGCTAACTCCCTCTGCAAGAATCTCCCTGCTGCTGCTGGATCACTAGCAAAGGGTCCCTGCTCCCTTCTGCTTTGGTAAAAGGGGAAAATATTCCCTGAGGTTTTTTGTTGAAGGATGGTCTTTTTCCATGTTCTTTGTCTTTCCATTTGCTCCATGAAACACACTTTGGTTCTGTGGTTTTGCCTGTATACACATGGTCTGACAATGTTGCCTGTGGTTTGGAGATCATCACGGGATAAATTTCTGTCCCTCTTCAGCCCAACTCTGGTATATCCAAAGGTGTTGCCTAAAGGGTTAGAACTGGTCCTTGACTTTCTGCCTTCTTAGCCACGTGAGCCTGCATTGACGCCAAATGTGTGTTCCCAGTTCTCCAGAGCTGTTAAACACTTACAGAAAATCATCAACCAGCAATCGGTTCAAAAAAAAAAAAAAAAAAAAAAAGGAAAACAAGTATCTGCTGCCTGTGGAGAGCAGGTCATGCCCGATTCATCCAATCCTCAAGGTCTTACTTAAACAAGCCCTGCAGTTTAAGCTCTGCCCGGAGCTGCAAAGCTGTCCTCCCCCGGGTTGTGGGTACCCTGAATCAGCTGTCTGGTGGCCACGCAGTCCTTTCGCTTGCAGACACAGGTCCCATCAGGGCAATGGCACAGCAGTTCAGCAGAGCCCCCACGGCTCCTTGGGGCCTGTGGGAACCTGTCGTGGCCCGGGGTGGGTGCTTTGGTGCCCACAGCAACCTTCCCTCAGGGGGTTGTCCCTGAGGATGTGAACCCTCAGGCAGCTCTGGAGGAGCAGGTTTCCCTGGGTGCTGGGTATCAGGGTCTGGGCTGAGGATCTGGGACTGGGAAGGAGGAGGTACTTTGTTCTGCCTGGGTTTTCCCTCCCCTCACTCCTTCTAGGGTAGAAAAGCGGAGCAATGTTGTGACTCTCACTGAAATCCAAGGGCTCCTCGTCCAAAACATGGGCTCCATTGCCCCAGGCACCACTCCAACTCATGTGAGGCCCAGTGTGTCTCTGCATGTTTGACCATAATTACACAGAAATTAATGATTAATGTTCAGTCATCAAAGGTAAACCAGATCTTTGTTTGCCAGCTTGTTCATCACACTGTCACGGCCATTCCTCTGTTAGATGCTGTCTGTTAAACTCTTGACCAAAATCTCAACAGTTTCTTCTAAAATCTGTGATTTCCTGCGTGCAGACAGCCAAAGGGTACAGCCTGATTGCTGGTATGGCTGATGTGTGGGTAAAGACAGCACCCTGCTGTCAGCACGATGCTCCTGGGGGCTGTAGGACCCCCAGTAACACAGTCCTGTTTGAGGAGCCAGGGTGGGCTGCTCCATCACCCAGCCAGCTCCACATGGCACTTGTGGGATGAATGACAGGCACTAATGCCATCTAGTGACCAAAAACAATGCAATGTGGATATTTTATAAAACGCTCCTGGAAATTTTATAGCCCCAAGTGGGGCAGGCCATGGGGCTGGGAAGGAGGGAGATGGTGCTTGGTGTGCTGGGAAAAGAAGTCCCTTTTCCATGCTCACCCAGCCCTCATTTCACATCCTACGAAGTGCTTCTGCAGGTAACCAGGGACTGGGATCTCTCATGTGAGGCTTTATAGGTCCCCAAGGGAGCAAGGCACAGACTTCCTAAGCAGCTCTGTTGACCGAGGAGCACAAATTCCCTGATTTACTGCTGGATTATGGAGCACAAACCCAATGTCCGGGGACAAGATGACTGCAGGGGAGGAGATGGCTTGCTCCACTACTGACGTGGACATCATGGGCAGAGACCCTGAGGACTAATTTAAGCTGGTGGCATGGGCTACAACACAGTGCCATTGCTGCAGCTCTGAGTTTAGCTGAGATGGGGGCAAGGGATGGCAGCTTCTGCCACTGTCCTGACAGCAGTGACTTGTTACTGTGGCTCATATTACCTGACACTTTTTTTTCCTCCCACCAGCTTTGTTTCTCCCTCTTGGCTTCTGTAGGTGATAGCCGTGAAGGCATTAATGTGCTGGGTTTCTGCACGAGTGGCTGGCTGGAGACACCGTTGCTCTGTACCTAGTTATTAATCCAGCCAAGTCATGGTGCCACAGGCTTGGAGGAATTAGTTTGGACTCTGCATTTCAAAAATGAAGGTGAAGTTATTTCTGATCATAGCCGCTTATTCTGCTTGGCTAAGCTGCCATGGGCAGGTGTGGTTTGCCTTGCATAGGGCTGGTGGTCTCCTGACAATATTTTTCAGTTCTGATCATTTCTCCAACTCCTGAGAAATGCACAGAGAGAGAACTTGGGAATTATAAGTTTTCAGTTAAGGAACCTGAGGGCTGAGATAGCTGTGAAGTGCACTACGAATGCACTGAGGTGCCAGGCAGCACCCCCAGAGAGATTTGGAGAGATGTGAGGTGTACCCTGCTGCCGAAGGTGAGCAAGCAAAGCACCCAAATGAGAATAAGCTCCTTCATGGGGCATTTCTGAAGTGCAGAGACACCAAGACTGGTGCCAGCACAGGCTGGCACATCACTGGCTGAGGGTCTCGAAGAGCTGCCTGCCTCGCCGGGCACACGGATCCATCAGCAGTGCTCTGCCCCAGAGTGAACAAGCAGTCGCTTGCTCTGCTCAATGCTGCTCAGACTTGCCCTGCTTCCTTCAGAAAGCTATTTACAAGAGTCTTTGTTGGTTTTCTGTTGTTTTTTTCTATCCCAAATGTGGAGGTACCAAATGTGTTCCTTTTGTCTAATTTATTGTCTGTTTAGTTTTGTGTTATCTTTGCTGCTTCTTTTTCTGGGTTGTCCACGTGTCCCCCTGCCTTTCTGTCCTGGATAATTGAGAGTTGGCGGTGTACCTGTAGCATTCCTGTTGGATGGCCAAAGTGGGAGTGAGAATAAAAGCTTCTAAATATTGTATTGAAGTAAATAAGTAATTTGCTCATAATTGCTCTTTGCATGGAATTACACTGGCAATTCCATGCAGATTTTGCAGGAGCGAGCAGTTGTGAGAAGTTGGAAGAGCTGTACACCTTGGGGAATATTTGTCATGGGGCTATGATGGGGAGAAGGGCTTCACAGATTTGGAAGAGTGCTCCTACTTCTGTAAAGGGACTTTGTCCAGCAGTCTGTGACAACACTGCATTTCACAGATTTGCTGACTGTAAAGTCTGAAAATATCCATTTCTACCAGGAATTTAGCTGCAGGTGGCGAAGGTAAAGACTTCCCTGTGAGGAGAAGGCAGATCTGCTTTACCTTGTGCTTTTGAGTAAGATATCTTTTAGAGCAGCCAGCCGACCAAAACACAGTATACATCCATACTGTCTTCTCAGCTCAGTAGAAATCCTTCAGCATTATCACAGCTCCATCTATCCTTTTTCCTGAAGAGATGAAGAAAAGCAAAAAGCACTTAGGGTGCTCTTTTGCCTGAAGCATTCGACACAGAGATGTATCCCTATCTATTTGGCATCAGCAGGGCAATAGCATCTTGCAGGAGACAAGCAGAACAACATGCAGTGAATAATCTGAGACTAGTACTAATTTCCTCTTTTCTATCTCCTTGTAGGGATCCTGTTTACGATGCTGGTATTTGGACCAGCCTGTGGATTTATCTTGGGCTCCTTCTGTACCAAAATCTACGTGGATGCTGTCTTCATTGACACAAGTAAGGAGAACTGGGTTTGGTTTCAAATAAAATATGCTAATGTATTATCAGGACAAAAATGTTGATGCTCACAAGCAGGAAGATGATTCTTGTTCCATCTTGAGTGCCTGTTGCGCAAACGAGTGTCACTTTTAGAGGGGTTTTATGACTGGGATTCAAAAGTTTTCAACTCTATCCCCATAGATAAATTTGTAGTAGATAAAATTTGTTCCCTTCTATGGGCTTTTGTACTGCAAGATGAGTTTCATCCCAGCTCTTAGAGGACACCTTAAAATATCACTGTGGCAGGGCACACCAGCTAGCCCTGGACGGAGCCTTGCTGGAGCAGCTGTGTCCAGAGCACGGGATGAAATCTGGAGAGCTGCCATCCCCAGCACCTGGGAGGGCGGTTCAGTCCCACAGCATTATTGATTTTTCCCAAAGCAGTGCTAATTATTGCCCACCTTGACTCTGCACTTGGGTTAAAACAATTTGTTTGCAAATTGTCTTTTTCTTCATTAAGAAAAAAATCCGCACTTATTGCTACCTGCACTACGTGTTCTTTGCCATTAGAGGGCAATGTGTAACAGGCTGTTCTCCACTGCTCCCCAAGCCCTTCGGCTCTAGGCTGCAAACCTGATGCTTCATTATTTTCCCTGTTGTTCCGATGCTTTTTCTACAGCTCTCAGCTCCATCTGATCCCACAGGCTCTTATCCTGCCGCAGGGGTGTTGTCCCCTTTGAGGATGCATTCCAGTTGTGTGGTGTTGCAAACACATCTTCACAGGATGCATTTTGATGGAGTTGAACCTTGCAGGACTCAGAACAGAATTGTGCAAATCTGGAAAAGTGCTGCTGCCTTTTCTTGGTCTTGCATGCACATGGCAGCTGAAGAAATCTAAATAATATCAAATGAGCAGGAAAGAAGTATCTTTTTTGATGGCTGAGACTTCTAGCTGCGGCTTGGTCAAGCACCATATGGCTCCTTGTCATTCCTTGGCTTTAGCAAAGATATGTCAAAGAGTCAGTTGGTTCTGTAGGCAGAAGAGTTTGTTTGAACCCAGTTACATGTTTGACCATTAAGTATAATTTACTCCAAAATACAAATGTGCAGAAGAAGACATTTATTCTCCCAGAAGGTGAAGCTGTGGAACTTGTCACCATAGGGTCTATGGTCAGAAGTCTACAAATGGATTTAAAAACAATTGGATGAGTTTATAGAAGAAAAAATGAACATGACACCAAATGTAGCTTAGAAAGTCCCTGAACCACAATCACAAGAATAATACCAGGTATATGTTGACTTTATTCTTGTGGACTTTCTGGGCATCTGCAACTGATTACTATCAGAGACAAGATGCTCAGAGGCAAGATGCTGGCCTTGCAGTAATAATGTGATCTTGCTGGTTTTACATAAGATGTTGTTCCATGTTTACAGCTCAAAAATCCTAGACAAACACAGAGCCACAGAGGAGAACGGTGGAGTCTTACCACTGAGAAGCCTGGAGGGGCTGTGGCTCAGCAGGTCATAGGGAGGGTATAGCACTTGCCAGCTGCAGGTCCAGGTGGCTTTGGCCATGGTCCATTGCCGTCATGTGAAGGCTGAGGCTTCATGGCCTCTGTCTGTTCTTGTATAGAAAAGAGTTTCCACGTTGCAGGAAGACCTTGGTTTACGTGGCTCACCACATGGCTGTGTTCCCAAGCACCTGAAAAAAATGCACTTCAGGCAGGAGGAAATAACAGCAGAAGAATCCAATCCCTCCAAAACACTATTTTTCAAACTTTATATAGATTTGAGAGCTATGTGTTGTTTTCCCTAAGGAAAAAAGAGTTTCCTTCTGTCTCTGCTCGAAAGACAACTTGATTGCCTCACTTGAGACAGATTTTTCAGAGTGGCGGTAACCAGACAGACATTATGAACAGAGGAGCTTGTTATTCCAGCCACGCAGAGCCAGGTGTCCCCTGAGAGTCAGCCCCAGCACTGGGCACCCTCTGCCAGCTTCCAGTTTCTTCTCTCCTGCTGCTTATTTTTATTCCCCCAGACTGACTCCAGAGCCTTTTTTTATCTTATCTCTGCTGAGCGATGGCCTACAGGATGATCTAGCCTTTTACTTTGCTTTTCCTCATTTTCTGATGATTTTTCTACCTTTCTGAGAACATTTAGTGCAGTGGGTGGGTTTCTTTTACGATATTTAGTACTGTTTCACCCTCCACACAGTCACAAGTTCCCATAAAACCCAACTGCCCATCTCTCCTTTGCTGAAAAGTGCTGTGAAGTCAAAGCAGGGAGAGCACTGACCTCCTGGAGAACAAGGGTAAGCTGGGATGGAAATGCAGTGTCCTTGTCTGTGCTGCTTTTTCTCCATGTAGGTCTTTGTGCCACTAGGTAGGTAAGCTGTGTGTGCACGTTTGACATGCTGGAACAGGGATGTCCAAAATCTTGGTGCCAGGGACACTGACTGGTATATGGCAGCTTCCTAGAGCTGGCAGAGCCGAAGACAGTGGAGAGAAGCCTTGATTACAGGGTGTTACAGAAGTTGGATGTGCCATCTAGATAGACAAGGTGATGGATTGCTTGTCCTAAGGGCCTCTTGGATGCGGAGGTCATTATGCACTGGTGGCTCACACTGTTTGGGTGTGGGATGCACTGTGGGTCCCCACCTTGCGTCTGGGAGCCCTTCACCAGCCAACAAAGCCCCCAACAACCGTCTTCCAGCCTACAGAATCATTAACACTGTCGTCTTTCCCTCCCCACGGCCAAGCCACTGACACATGTGTGCGTGTGCCCTTGCAGGTAAGCTGGACATAACCCCGGATGACCCTCGGTGGATCGGTGCATGGTGGGGAGGCTTCCTGCTGTGTGGTGCCTTACTCTTCTTCTCATCCCTGCCGATGTTCGGGTTCCCACAGTCCTTGCCCCCGCGGCCGGAGCACGCTGGGGAGAGCGAGCAGGCCATGCTCCCCGAGAGGGACTACGAGAGACCCAAGCCAAGCAACGGGGTCCTGCGGCACGCACTGGACGGGGAGAGCAGCACGACCTGCTTCCAGCAGCTGCGAGGTGAGACAGGGCTCTTGTCATATTTTCCGCGAGGGTCAGCAACAGGTTAACAGCTGGTTGGATTTGTAATTGGTCTCTGATTTGGACTATCCACCTCTACCCCCCAAAAAAATAAAAAAAGCCCCCTCAGTATCCTGAAATTTCAGGAAGTCCCTAGCTTCTAATTATTTCTGGCATTCTTCTAATTTTAAAGAGAGACTTTGTTCTACTTGAAAGGTTTGGGGTTTTTTTAAACTACGAAGCTTCAGAAATGCACAATAGTTCTGTAGAGTTAATAAAAAAATGAAGGCGAACACAGCTGCCAGAGCAATTTGTGAACCTCTGTTCAGTCTACTGTCCTGCTCCTCTCTGACTCTCAAAACAGAGAGCAAGCCAGCAAGGGCAGTTAAAAGATATTGGGAGCTCCCAGCATCTGAGTTACATGTTAGTGCAATCCCAGATACAAGGCAGTGAGTGCTGGGCACCACTGCAGCTCTTAAATTGGGATGGGGAAGAGGTAGATACCAGCCCAACATAGCAGGAAAGTGGCAGGGCACAGCATGGCTCGTAGCGAATTAGAATAGAAAACCCCACGTCACGTCTCACAGTGATGGAAATGGACCTGGATCTAATGAAGGTCAGCTGAGGATCCAGCATTTTCTGGGAAAGTGTGGGCAGATATCCTTTCTGTAGGCTGCACTGGAAAATCCTTCATCTGAGAGGGCGGTTCTGTAGCACTGGTGGTTGCTTCCCACTCTCTGTCACTGGCAGAACGGGTTTCATTACTGCCTAATGCATTTAGATAAATGAGGAGAAAATCACTTACTCCCTGTGCCTTAATTTGGAGTTGAATGAGGTGCGGGTGGGAAGGAAAAAAAGACTTTGTGAAAAAATGTGTTTTCTTAAATATAAAAATACCTTGAATAGTTGATGTGGTTGTTCACTAAGGGAAGGCCAATGATGTGCAGTTTTGACTTGATGAGAAAATTCAAAAGAAAGGTAAAGGGATAAATTGTTTGAAAATTTGACAGTAAAATTAATTTCTTCATCCTTTCATCCTTGTTGCAAGGATTTTCTCAAGTTTGAGGAGTGTGCTTTCCCCATGGTACATCCATCTGGATAAAACTGTGGCTTTTTTCATGGACTCATCAGTGCGTCTGCTTCTGGCCACTGAGTTTTTAGAATGGATACTGGACATTTTTGCAGATTTTCATATAGAAAAATGAAAAAATATAGCATGTTCCTGCTGCATGGAGGGGCAGCAGTTCTGGCTAAGGATGGTGCTGAGCAAGCTGATTTTCTTGTACACAGGGAGGCCATGGGGGGTGTTCCTAGAGCAACTATTGCTTATTGAAGCAGAGAAATTAAGCCGCCTCATCCATATGCTTCAAAGTACTGATTACATCAGGAGGCACCACAGTTTTCCACGTTAGCCTTCTCATTGCAGGTAACCCCATCTCAAATCAGTCAGTATTCCAGAAGTCTCTTTGTAGATGGACTTTGAAATACAATTTACATCACATCAAATAAGAGGGGAATGACCTTTTTAGTTATGCCTTTGAGGCTGTCACAGACGACACGGTGTTGGTAGCTGACATCTCCTTTCAAGTCCCTTGATGCTATTGTCACGGTCGGAACGTGGTCAAGAGTCGTGTTTGCTAAAGTGCCTGCCTGGAGATGCTCAAACACGTACTGCAAGGGAAGGCGAACGTGCTTCACTCACTCCTCATGGGCAGTGTTCAAGGTGATGAGTTGAATCTTGCTGTGTATATACATTATTTTGTCAGCAGCCGAAATATATATATATACATTCTTATGTGGGGACCTGGTATCCTTAATCTGTTTGTTGATTGTATAAAGTTTCCTTTGGGGAAAGTTAGACTGGTTAGTCTTTTTTCTAGGATAAAAAGGACTAGTAATTATATACAGAAGTTAGAAATATATATGTGCATGCAAAGTCATGTTGTCTGTCCTATCATGGAGTTTGGGGTTTGCATGTTTTTGTGAAGCTGAACAACAGAGGATGTGCCTGAATGAGGGGTTGTGGGTGGAAATGCTCATCAGGGTTTGTGTGGCCGTAACTCTGGCTCCTTTTGAGCAAATGTCTCTGTAGTTCAGTCCTGGGCAGGTGTGTGTCAGGAGTAAGTCCGTGTCTGCATGGAGGTGTGGGGTCACCCATCTTTTGTGCACAGTGTGGGGCGAAAGAGTTGTTTCTCTGTACCAATCATACGAACACACAGTGTGTCAATGGTGCATCCTCGGAGGCTGACCTCAGTCACCTTTTTGGCTATTGAAGGGGTTTGATTTTTTTTGATTTTTTTTTTGATTTTTTTTTTAAGCAGTGCAGAGACTGCTGCAAGTTGAGTGGACATGGCAGGAGAGGAAGTGGGGTGGTGTCAGCTGGAGACATGCTCCTAGCTGGGTCATGGCTGTCAGGTAGCAACATGGCCTGGCTGACATGTGGGAGGATGCTCAAGACACTACAAGATTTGTTGAAAGACAGTGAGATGTAGGGCTGGGTGAGATTCCTCACCTGTCTCCAGTCTTAGCACGCAGAAAAGCTAAGACTAATATAAAAGCAACCAGCTCAAAATATTGGAAACTCTATCGAGGTCTAAACAGGCAGGAGGGTTCAATTTTTGGGAAGCCATGGCATCTCTACATGTGGGATATTTTCATGCCAGGAAGAGAAGCATCCTTAAGAGGAGCTTTGAACGTGAAATGAAGACTGTGCCTTTGAATGGCACAAGGTGAAGAGGCAATCAAAAGCAGCAGAGGTGGCAGGTGGCTGTGGTGTCAGCTCTGCACAGCGGCACTGGCAGGGGTATGATGGCTCAGGGACGGTCCTGGGAGGTGCTTACCATTGCTGAACTGGTGTGTGAATGCTGTGCTGCTTTACCTGATTGGCATTTCAGTTAAGCAACGCAAATCCATTTGGGAGCACAGGGTAATGAAGGATTAATAGCAGGGAGAGGGTGGATAAATGCTGCCATTGCTCTTTGCTCTTGGCTGGCAGCCTGGCTGGGTTCTTTCAACCCTGCACTCTCCGTATGGTCTGGAAAGCACTTCAGGCGTGGGCTGCAGCAATCCTTGCTGTCCTGGGGGCACAGCTTTGCATTCCCACCTCTGGTCTGCCTCAGGGACCTCTCTGCTATTCAGAGCTGGAGATGATGCTTAGCTGTGTCAGGGTACCTGTGCCCTCTACTCATGTCTGTCCAGCATCTGCCCTCCCACTTGGTGTTAACACACCGCCTCTAACCCACCAGCTGCTCCAGCACGTGCTTGGAAAGGTTTTGTTAAAATTCTTTTTTTTTTTTTTTTTTAATATGGAAACGTCACTTCTACTGAATTGAGTGGTCATTCTGATGAAATTTGGTTTCAGAATGCTTCCTTGGATGTATCTTTAACACCCCTGAAACATTCTGCTCTGAATGCATTTGTTTTGCAATGATTTAAACCAGAAATTCATTACCTCTTACCTGTTTGTCTAGCGAGAGATACTAAAAAACTAAAGGGATTGAAATTGATATGGAATCTTTCAGGTTTGGAGAGAGAAGCTCATTCACAAAGAATTAAAAGAAAACCCACTGTGGAATTAAATGGATTTCAAAACTGCACATTCCCTAGATTTGGAAACATTTTGGTTTCTGTCCAGCTTAATTTCCAAGAGCGTGGGAGAGCTGGGATGTACAGCTGACAGCTGTCTTGTCTTCTGTTCGATTCCTTCCTGCTCTGTGTACCAATCTGCTGAATACCTAGAGAGGGAGCTGCTCTGAATCCTGGATTTCTCCCCCCAAAAGTGGTCTCTGGGAGCAGACACGTAGCACTGGGCCAGGAGGTCCCAGATGTGCTGGGGGGTCCTGGGCCATAGAGAGCCTGTAATCATCAGTGGGATTTTATGTGATTGAGCATGATTAACAGCTGATTTAAAATTCATAGCTCTAACAAGTCATGCTGACAAATTTTTGGAGAGGGCTCCATCTGTACCTTTATTCATGGCCATAGCAGTGAGTCTTTGGCCCTGATCCTGATGGGTATCATGACCTTAATGCCTTTTTGGATTTGGGTCTTGGCTTCTTACCAACATCTAGAAGGCTTGTTGAGAAATCCTAATCGTAGATAAGGGAGAGGTGACTGATCATAAAATGCCTCACATCAGGTCCTATCAGTTTCCAAGTTCCTTTAGCTTGGATTTCATAAGGATGCAGGCTTTGTTGGCAGGTTCTTCTTGACCATTTCAAAGACAGCATCCTTGTTATCAGAAGCTTTGATTAATTCAGAAAGGCCTTCAGCCTGCACGCTCCGAGGCAGAAGCTGAGCAGCAGCTGAAGTCAGGCAGAGCATGTCTCTCTCTGAAAAGATACTGTACCTTGCTGTGATCTCCATGATGCGAGTGAGAGAGGTTTACTTCCCCCTCTGAAATCAAGCAAAGGCGGTTGCTGCAGGCAAAATGATAAACTAAAAGAACGTGCTTTCCATCCACGAGAACATTACTCTTGCTTCAAGCTTGTATCTTTCAAGAAGACTCTTTGACATGTGTATCATCCTTTTCCTTCATATCCTTTGTGATACTGATTTTGGCAAGGCCACGTGGACTTTGGCATATTAAACTCATCTGAGATATCTTCAGCACCTCTTGTCTTACTCCATCTTCTCTTTTATAGGAGCTGCCTCTTTCCAGAAGGTATTTTCTTCTTGCTGCCTGCACTATTTTCTTCATCCCTTATTCCTCAAGTCACATGGAGATTGTGCCTTTTGTTTTCTGTTCAGATCTGAGGCTCACTGCCTACATCGCTATTAGAAAGTTGCAGTTTGGCTCAACACTACATTTCGCCTTTCCCTCACCCCACTGTCCTAGGTGGACTGGGCTGTAAACCTCCCTCTAATTTATTACTTTGCTTTCTGTGTTCCTCATCTTTACTGCAAATTGAAAACATGTCTCTGTAGGGTGCTCCAACTGGAAAAAGGGGCCTTGGTGATTGTAATGTTCCAAACAATTCATTTCAAGCATCAACGTGATGATTATAGTTTGTCGTTTCTGGAGAGTAGTTAAACCTCATGTAATGAGGTTGCCAATTATCCCTGGTACTCCCTGATGTTCAGTGACAAATCAAAGCTACTTGGTGTGCATAAGTGTGTTTGTTTGTCAAGCCCATGGCCTGTCACCCATAGCTGGCCCCACAGCAGGAGATAGGTTGCCTGATGTCTTGGCATGGGTGTTGCTTGGGATGTTAAAAGGTGGGAAGTCAAGGGATTGGCAGGGGTGTTGGAGAGCTTTGGGACATCCTCCTGGGTCCTCTCCAACCTGTAGATGATCCTGTGACCAACACTGCACGTGGATGGTCTGAAGAGTTGCGTTTTAAGTACTACAGCAGTGAAAAGAGGCTGAGGTTTCTTGTTTTTCTCAGTGTATCTTGCCATGGCAATGAGAATTGCTTTTCTGCTGTCATTTCTGTAATGTATTGGCTGCATTGGGATAAGGATGTTAAATGAGCTGGTCCTTCTGAGCGTGGGAGGATGTCTTTCTGTGCTGTGTCTGATACAGCTTGTGGGTTCTCCAAGTAGATTTTTGAGACTCTTTTGAATCCAAAAGGCCTTTCCCTTTTCTTCATCTGGTGAATGGGCTTCAACCTCAGGTTTATAGCTCCAAAGTGCTGCTACAAAGTGTTCAGCTAACCTTTGGGCCAACAAGGTACAGGGTAACATTTATCATGACTCTTGCTGGGATCGGCTCCAGTGAAGAAGCACCATGCTTAGCTGCTGTGTTCCCCAGGGCTTTACTGTCCCACCTCAGACATTTTGCATTCCCCCTTCATACCCAGCACCATATGCCAGGCAGCTGAAAGCACGTCACTCTAATCTATTGAGAGATTTTTAAACTTCACTGCTGACTTTTAATCTTGTTCCCAGAGGTATTTCACCCCAAGAACTGAGATAAGGCAGCAGCAGGTGTCAAATGATTCATCTTAACGGGTGGCAGTACCAAGATGAAAGGATATTCATTCTACGGAGAGCCTCCTGTCATTTCCTTTAGAAAATGAAAAGGAATGAGCTGGCCCTGGCTGAGGAGATGGTGGAGGCTGCCAGGCATTGCCTGCATTGCCCCCTCACTCTTTGCACTGGGTACCCTGCAGCAGGCACAGAGCCCTGTTGCAGTAGACAGTGGTCAAACATGCAGTGGAGGACAGGACCTGTCCCAGAAAACTCACACTCAGATGCACAGGGAGAAGAAGTGATGAAGTGTATGATGACTTGTAGCCCAGCAGTGCTAGGCAAGGCAGTCATAAGGGCCTCCTTTCTTATGTGAGATGATACAGTAACTCTGCAAAATTTTTGCTGTCCATCTCCAAGTACGAAGGATGGATTTTGACCTTGGTAATGCATGGTGGTTGGGTATCAGCCTTGACAACTTCAGAAATAAATGTCCGTGATCTTTAACTCCCTCCTGCAAAAGACAAGCTGTCATTACTATTTTGTGGATAGAGTTAGAGGTAGACCTTTCTGTCTTTACATTTGAATTGGCACAAAGCTACATCTCGAGGAATCCATTAATCTCAAACAAACTGAACTCCAGAGGCACAACACTCATTAATACCTTAAATATGTCTTTTCAAGCTCAGCGCTGCCAAGTCCACCTTTGCATTTTCCCTCCTTTCCTGGCAAGAAGGGGAAATTCTGTAGGTGTGCACTAAAGAACTGAAGGAGGCAGCAGGTGGTTTCTGAGATCTATCCACATCTGAATCCCCTCAGCCCCATTCCTCCCTCCCAGTATTTTTTTCTCTCTTTTTTTTTTTTCCCCCCGTTCTACTAAAATATACTATGCCTCCTGCACCTTCATTATGTTCAGCAAATCCTCAGGAAGCAAGAATTTTATACAGCATCAAAAAAAAACATTTGTGATATAGAGAAACCAGAAACTGTGGAGTGGCCCCTTCCAAAAAGGTTAGTTCGAACCTAATTATAGCCCTTTCTCTCCCCCATCCAAGAAAGAACCAAGAGGACCCAAGCAGAGCCTTGTCAAAGAGCTGTGCATTCACTTGCTGAGGTCAGTGCAATTAGATTTTGCACCAAAAAAAAAGCCCTAAGGGAAAAGGAAGCCAACACCAGGGAAATCTGTCATCTGCCAGACCCTGGTACACCACAGGGGATGTGGGGGATGATTTTCAAAATGCAAATAGGGGTCCGTTGAGGCTTCATTACACTTCTGCAAGGTAATTTTCAAACTTAATGATTTTCACATTTAATTCGGGGAGAAATTAGTCATCAGATATTGAGACAAAGCAAGGCTCTCTTCTGTACTGGGATGCTCTCCTCTTCAAGCTGTGTTATCTTGGCAATAATTAAAATGTTCGCTGAAGTAGAAAATGTGCTACCTGATTCATTAGCCAGATTTCCCTTTGTAAGGTAACTCGTGTCTGCTTATCGGAAATAGAGACCGGCGTGGAGAAGAGGACTCTGGATGCTAATGATTCGGGAGGGAGGAGCTAAGGGATGGTGAAGCTAAAGCAAGTGTGTGTGCACCTTACACAGTGAATAGCTCAGCATGTCCTTTTCCACTCTTGCAGCCACCAAGGCCAGTAGGGTCTGCATGGAAGGCGTTGCTTGGCTATTGAAGCTCTGGTTTATGGGAACACGCAGGCTAACATGCCTGTCCCAAGCATGAGGTCCCTTATGCCCATGGGTAGCCACGTCCCCAGGCCGAGCAGAAGGATTTCAGCTTGCACCCAGATGTGCTGCAAGAAGGTGTCCCTCAGCAAGTGATCCAGTGTTACGTGGGAATAAGAAAATGAAGCAAATCTGGATAACAGGAAAAGGAAAGGCCAAGTGTGAGCTGGGTTAGCTTGTGTCTGAAACCTTGCAAGAATTTGTGCGGTGCTGAGTACAGTAGTCATGACACCCATCGGCTGGCTCAGTGTTGTTCCTGGGGAGCAGGTTGGGAAAGGAGAAGGAGAAAGACAATACTAGGCTTTGATTGACTTCCTGTGGGGGAAACGAGCAATATTGGAAAGCACTCATCTTTCAGAATTTCAAAATCGTCTGTAAGATGTAAACATAACAACAGGTGACTTCTTTTTGCACCCTCCTGGTATCTAAATCTTTAGGTGACACTGTTCTTGTGTTTCACTTTGTTCTGCTGGTGCCACATTTCAACCAGCTTGTCGGTGCAGAACAGAAGATTACTCCTGGTTTGAAGTGAGTTTGTCCTGTAGGAGAGCAGCAAAGCACTTCCAGCGCCTCAAGCAGAGCCTGTGCAAAAACACCTCTCCCTTTTTGCTCTCTTCTAGTGATCCCCAAAGTAACTAAGCACTTGCTCTCCAATCCTGTCTTCACCTGTATCATCCTGGCGGCCTGCATGGAGATCGCGGTGGTGGCTGGCTTTGCTGCCTTCCTGGGAAAATACCTGGAGCAGCAGTTCAACCTCACCACCTCATCTGCCAACCAGCTCCTGGGTGAGTAACCACAGGGGCCACCAAATATCCAGCATCCAACGGCATTTAAAAGTGTGGTTAACCACAACCAGTCTCACTGGTTAGGCTGCCCAAAAAGTGGCTTGCCCAACATCTAGAAATATGTGTGTATGAGTGGGAAGGCTGGGCTCCAGCTGTGCCTTGGCTGCAGAGCCCAGAGCAGACCTCGAGCATCCTTCCTTCTCGACTGTGCTCTCCACTGCAGCCCACTGCAGTCACTTCCCCTGTCGCCGAGCCCATTGTGTGAGAAGTGGTATGATACAGCCAGGGTATGAAAATCTGCGATGGCCCTGAAGCAGAGTGGAAATCCCGACCAAACTGAGCCATTTGGTTGCCCAAGGCTGCAGTTGTCCGCTGAGTGACAGGGCTGCCCATTAAACTGCTTCTCTCATGGTTCAGGTATCCCAGAGTTCTCCGGCCCATCTCCATTTGGGTTAGGAAGCCCAGTTTCTCCTTCTAGTCTCTCCTTTCCCCTTGAATTGGAAATGACAGGATTGCAACCAGCAGTTTAAATACCCAAGCTTGTGCAGCTTGGTTGTCTTTCAAATGCCCATTCTCTCTGATCATGCTATGCTACTGCGTTTTCACATATATATATATTTCTCAACATTCATTCATTCCCTGTCAGGACACTGATGCACAAGCAGGATCTTCATTTTTTTTTTTCCTGCTGCTCATTCCCAAGCAGACCCAAAGATTTGTTTTTGACAACTGTTCTCTTGGCAGCACCCAATTAAGATATCTGTGAGTTGATCTTGGATGATCTGCAACCTCAGCTCACCAGATAGGCAGCTGGCAGTGATCTGTCAAAAACTGGGGCATCGTGAAATGGGTGGATCTTAATATCAAAATAAGGAGGTTGCAAGCTGCTCTCCTGATAGCTATTTATTTTCTGATTGAACTCATTGATATCTTCTGGTTTTGGCCTGGTTTTCCAAAAGAAGTAGTCCCCTGCAGTCAATCTCGCCTCCTCCAGCAACACAGGAACTCACTGGTTAATTTTAATAGGATTTGACAGAAGGGCAGGGATCTCAGAGATGTTAGGCTCTTCTACCTTTCCTGAAAATTAAAGGCTTGGCAAAGGAAAGCAATTTCACTGTTCACCTACTGGGAGAAGGAAAACCGCTACGCTGTCTGATGGGAGATGCCTGGCCAGTCAGCCTGTGAGTCCAGCTGGATGGTCAGTGAAGAAGGAGTCACCATGAGCCAGAGTACGTCCTGCTTCTGACCTAGCAGTAGGAAATGAGACTCTGATACATCCATGATCCTCACAACAACTTTTTTAATTGAAACAAAGTTGGTACCAGATTTCCCACATGGCATTTATGGGAGTCCAGAAATGCCAGGATTTGGATGCGCTTCTAAGCTTAGCTTCTAAGCTTAGGTAAGGTCTGAAGGATAATTGGCAGCAAAGGGATAAAAGTGAACCCAGACAAGCTTAGTGTGATAATGCCTGGAAAGTGAGTCACTCTGGCAGTGATTTTTCATCTCACAGTTTAAGAAGATTCTTTAAGGGAGACTTCATATTTTCAAATGTGAATGAAGATCAGACTGACGTGAAGCATACCAAGCAGGGATCATCCAAAGCCTTGGAAAATTCTTGATTTGTCTGCCAACTGTTGCAGAAAGCATCAGAGATGCTGCTGCTTAGGTTAGGGTGGGCCAATCTCAGCAATTTTGGCATCTCCCTCCAGTATGGATGAGAACTAGAAGAAGATCTTGGTTCCTCTGTGCAAAGCAGCGTACCCATTTGCATCCATTCCTCTCTTTTTGGGCAGCCTGATCTTGGTGCTACTCCAGAAGTTGATCATCACAAGGTTTCCCCATTCTAGCGTACAGATCTCTCTGTTGGAAAGTAAAAAGACGAAATAGTGTGGTTCACTGAGACGCGCTCATGCTTCTTTCTAAATGATTTTTCCTCTTGCAGGGATGACAGCCATCCCATGCGCATGTCTGGGCATATTCCTGGGTGGCCTCTTGGTGAAGAAGCTCAGCCTGTCTGCTCTGGGAGCCATCAGGATGGCCATGCTGGTGAACCTGGTGTCCACAGCTTGCTACGTGTCTTTCCTGTTCCTGGGATGCGACACAGGACCTGTGGCCGGGGTTACTGTTCCCTATGGAAACAAGTGAGTCCCCAGAGAGTTCCAGGGTCTCACGCAGCCTTACCAACATAAATGCCATGTTATTGTCCTCGACAGGCAGCCTTCAGGCCCCTAGACAACCATGAGCATATAGAAGGCAATGTCATATAGGGCTCTTAGTTTGGGATGTTTTCGTGCCACTCGTCACTGTGAGAGTTGAGTACCCTCAGCTGACAACAGAGTTTTTACTAAAACCAGTCAAACTGAATCAAAAGGTACCAGACCTGATACTGCACCGATGGCCACCTATGTAGCATCGGTTCCACTGCACCGTCTGGTTTCTCCTGGCAGCAAGGGACATGCAGTGCTTTGTGTGTTTGTTTCAGTGCCTGAGGGAAATTTGTAGAAGCAGATTTTAGATGCCTGGAAATTCGGATATGGCAAGAAGAGAGTATGTGTGCTCCAGTTCCATTTTAATAGGAGAAATTAGGCACACAGTGCCCTGGAGCAATCACAGGACTTAGAATTATTTGGTATTTTCTCTTCTGGTGCTCCTTAGTGTGCAGTGGTGACTCTTTAGAAAATGACTACTTCAGGTTCTCAGCTCCTCACAGTTACTGTTCTAGAAGAATAGAAAGCAACCTCCACATGAACTCTTCGGGTTTCCTTGGGGCTTCTCATTTGGCTAACAAGGCAGCCCAAGCCTCACATTAAATTCCCTGTTGCAGAGGGATAATGGCCATGGCATTTCTGTCCCCAAGGAGAGGCTATAGCCTGGACCTTAAAGCTGGGACTCAGATAGCCTGCCCACTGCTTTTTGTAATGTTTGCCTTAAATACCTCCCTTCAAAGCCATCTTTGTGTGGCAACAATTGGAAAAGCTGGCTGATATAATCACACTGCCCATTAACTTCTCTTTCTGTTTTTCTTACAGCTCAACTCCAACCTCATCTCTGGACCCATATTCCCCCTGCAATAACAACTGTGAATGCCAAACTGATTCCTTCACTCCAGTTTGTGGGGCAGACGGGGTCACATACTTATCTGCCTGCTTTGCTGGCTGCAGCAGCACGGTGAGTGGGCTTTCCTCGGGACCTCTCACCTGTAGGAATGATTCTGTGAGCATGAGTGACTGGGATTAGTGTGGATCTTGTAGAGTAGCTCATTTACAGCCAGCAGTGGTTACACCCCCAAAAGCTAACGTCATACCTCAGATGGGCCTGAGCCGCTGTCGTTTTTCACTGTGTTGCACAGATGCCCAATGACTCTGACAGCAGCCTGACAGAGTCACCCACGGAGTGGGATGGGACTCCCCATCCTCCTCCTCCTCTGGTCTTTCTCCTCAGCATGGAAGCAAGGAACATGAGAGATCTGCACGGTTGTCCACTTGCAGAACACAAATCCTCCATGAGAGCTTGCTAGTCCTTGCTGGGGGACCAGCTTCTCTTTTCTCCTACAGCTCCTCATCTCCTCACTTCACCTGCCTGTGTTTGCCCTGCCCAATCCTTTTATTCCTTTTCCCCTTTCTCTTCTCCTGAATCTGGTTCTTAGACACTTATTATGAGATCCTGGTTTTATTCACCCTTGTTTAAGCTTTCCTTGCACTCCTCTTGCTTCTCTCTCTTTCCCTGCTTTGCTCTGAAGCAGCGGCAAGAGCAGTTGTCAAGGGAGCAAAGACTCCATCCGAAGACATTCTGCATTTTTCATTTTCTCCATATCTAAGAGTTTATTTCCTTTAGAAAATTCCGAAAGACCAAACCATCTGTGTGTAAAGAAGATGTGGAGAATTTTTAACAATATCTTAAAAGCCTGCTTTTCCATTTTTTGCTGCTGAAATTCTAATCTCTTCTGAGTTATGCTGAAAATGAGTGCCTGCTTCTCCCATGGGTGGTAACTTGTGGGATTCTTGCAGTCCTTGCTCCCTGCCCCGGGCCATGCCAGGCACAGTGACCACTGCCACTCAGCCTGTGTGGAACCCGTGGGAGGTCAGCCTGTTTGCAGTGACAGTTCGTGGCTGCAGGGACATCAGTGCACACCACACGCAATTATCTCTCCACGGCTTCATCCTTCCTTCTTGAGGAGACATCAAACCTCCCTTCCTGCTCTAAAGAGACAAACTGCCTGCGAGTGCGGGTGAGCAGAGGTGCAAGCTCACTACTAGCATGTGCAGCCTCACAGCCCAGATGACCTGGGAGCTCATCCTGCTTGAACCTCTTCTCTCCAATTCCCACCCCAGCCTCAAAGACGTAGGTGTCCCTTTGAAATACCCGCAGTTTCAAGGTGCTTTCAGCAACCCCACAGAGCATTCCAAGAATGTGTGGCACCTGTGAAGTTGTTATCTCCTGCCCTCTTCCTCCTCCACCTCTCAACAAGAGACATGTCAGCATGATTATTTTAACAAGAAGCCAGCTTGTACAGAGCACACAGAAGCGTGTCTCGCCAGTTCACCAAGCCCTTAACAAGAGTACAGCCAGTGTGGTACTGGAGTGTAGAAGCAACCTCCTCACTGTGTGGTTTGGGGCAAAGCTCTGGCTCCTCTGGAAGGGGCACAGCAATAAAAATTCAGCTCTGACCCTTCAGTCTGCAGCTGCCTGACCTTGTGCTCTGCAAAAGCAAACCTCTCTCTCCCTCACCTTGTCTCCTTACTCATTCTTTCTTATTTTGCCTTTTTGTCATCATTTTGGAATTTTTTTCGTCGCTTTGTTTTGTGGGGCTTTTTGCAGTAACAATTTGAGCACAAATTAGTGAAGCAGTAGCATCCTCTGGAAAAGGCATTATCAAGAGTTATGGACCAGTTTGACCATACAATGGCCCTGAGGCAAAGCCAAATTGCCAAACCAGGTTTCAAACCCATAATCCAGGTAATGACCTGTCTAGAGGGTCTTGTGAATGTTATATTCCTGTGATGAGCCAAGGGTTGCTTTTTACTGGGACATAAAATTCTCTGAATGCTTTATTTAACTTTACTGCACTGGATGTTTCTGACTGCCTCTCTCCACTTTTCCTCTGTGAACAATTTCTAAAAGCAATGTGTAGCTCAGTTTTTTCTTTTTGATTTCTTCTCTTTTACTGATCTTGTTGCAGTGGTGCACATGTCCAAAAAGTTGTACGAATATCAGTGCTGATAGACAGAGCTCTGGCACCCTCAGGAATTTTTCTTTCAAGCCATTTCTGGGAGTCACCCTTGCGTATGAAGTCTTTGATCGTGCATCTTGTTTGTTTGATGCCATTGCTTCTCTAACCCCTTTGGCTGGAGACACACGAATTTCAGCCTGGCATTACTCACTGCTTTGCACTGAAGTACCAGCCTGCTCCTTCCCTGTCAGAGCCAGGGTTTAAAAAAAATGAGTCATTAAAAACGTGGGTAATTTACATAGATAATTACCCCAAACTCAGGATGCTGTTAAAGGCACAAACTGCATCTGTGCAGCTTCACATGCACACAGAAAATCTGGATGTGCAAGCTGCTGGGCAGTGGAGGGCTGTGATAATGTGTGGTTGAATGCAGCGAAGTTGCAGACAAGGGAATCTATAGCAATTTGGCATGAGTAGCAAAAAGTTGCCTCTCCACAGGACAAAGATAAAACTCCATCTTTGATGTTTCCTTGTTTGATGTCTGTGAGTTGTAGAGTGTGTCAGTAATAAAAGATCAAACATCTGCCAGGTAAGGATGAAGTGCAGCGCTAAGCAAGCAGATGTAGTTGGTACAAACTACTCACACTGCTTTGGGCTGGCACCCTGGTGCAAAGTGGTCGAAAAAGTGGATTGAGGGGCAAATGTTTAGGCAATGAAGGTGGGGACCTGCCTCATGGTTAGTAAAAAATCACACCAATGGGATTAGACTCTTCCCCACAATTGCCAGAAACAGGTATTTTCTTTCCGTTGACGAGAGCCCATGGGAAATAAATTGCCAGTACTGCGTGTTTGCTGTGATGGGAATTTTGTCCCAGGATATTTCGGTGCAGATATGTTCTGTCCTGGACTTAGATGGGTTTTAATCCACAGGACTGTGTCCAGGCTAGTTGCTAGCAATGCACTGCAGTAAGAACCAGGAACTACAAGTTCCTGTCATCTCTGTGCAAGCACCACTGCAGTGGTGCTAATTGTCACCATCCCAAAGCCTTCAGGTGGCAGCTTCTAACTCACAACACAGGAAATTTGTTATGTTAATTATTGCTTGCCGGCCAAAAAGGCACCTGCATGTCTGCTCTGGCTATCTTGGAGTTCTGCACTGCAGTCTCTCTTGCCCTCTGTGCACTTATTTGGAAGAAAATCATTTGACTCCTATGCAGAAGAAAGAGATTGGTGTCAGAAATGCTGAAGTAGTATCCCCACAGATCCTTATCTTTGGAGGTAGTGAACCAGAAAGTGAGCTTTTGTATGGTCCTAAGGGGACCCCAGCAGAAAAGCAAAGGAATTTCTGCTTGAACGTGATAGAGGGGAAGGGGAGGAGATCTAGCTGTTTTTCAATATGTTTTATTTTATGGCGTTACTCCTCTTACAAACATGTGACCTGCAAACCCAGCGGGCTGATGAAGAGAAGTCATGAATCATTTATGATTGTTTCATTCTGTATTCGTTAAGGGATTTCTTGGTGGTATTGTGTGCCTTAATTGCACTGACGTCCCCCACTCAGAAATTCAGGAGGGTGAGTTGGAAAGTAAGAAAAAAAAATAAAAATCCCTAAATCTGTGACTGGCAAACAAAGCTTTTTTTGACATCTTGCACTTGCTGGAGAGATCAAAGGAAAATGCAGTCGTTTCACCCTCCTTCTGATCATGTATTGATAAAGTTTATCTTGCCTGACTTCAGCTTTTAGCTCAATACAAATCCCTCTGAACCAGATGTCATTTACTAGCCCTGTAGTGCACTTGAGTCCAGCAGTGCCTGTGCCACCAAGCTGTGACAGCTCAGCTCTTGGTGAGCTGCAGCACCCATCGTGGGTGCCTCCTTCCAGGGATTCAGGGTGATGGAAGCAGGCACCGAACCTGCTGCCAGCAAAAGGGCTGCAGATTTACCTGCTTTTAATGTACTTCGGTTTAATTGCATCAGCCAAGAGGACGGAGGTAAATAAGAAGGTAATTAGAACTATAATTCGGGGATCTTCCTTGTCACAGGGACACAGATTGTTTCTTTATTCTCCTCTGAAGGGGTATAACTTGGTAATAATTTTGTCAGAGTGACATTTATGGGAGAGACTTGAAAGGAGCAGAAGAAAAGAAACAAGCCAAGGGACAGCTTTCCCTTGCTGGTAACATGCATCAGAGCTAATATGCTTCTGAAATCCTTTCCAAGCCCCCCTCGAATAAGCACTTAGGAGTTACTTAATTGACCATTAGAGGATTCAGAGTCGCTATTGGCAAGCCCTCGTTACAGAGGGCAGGTGGTGGGGACCTTGGCTCTCGCTTCCCCTGAACCCCTTTGCTCCTCCGCAGAACCTCAGTGGCTGCTCGTGTCTCACCTCGGTCCCTGCCGAAAATGCCACCGTCATTCCTGGCAAATGTCCCAGTCCCGGCTGCGAAGAGGCCTTCTTGACATTCCTCTGCGTGATGTGCGTTTGCAGCATGATTGGGGCCATGGCGCAGACGCCCTCAGTCATCATACTCATCAGGTAGGGCCGCTGCCGGGGGGACGCGGTGAGCTTGCTGGGGACTGCTCCTGGGCTGGGAGCAGGGCTTGTGGGGGGACTGTGGGGTATCGCTGGGAGCTACAGGGAGCCGAGGGTCCTTCACAGCTCCTGGCTTTGTCTGCACATCCCCATATCAATGACTTTGGCTTAAGCAGAGGTTCAGTGCATCAGAAAATCCTCCTTTGACTAAGCACTCTCTGGTGGAGATACCTTTAAAGAGCTGCCTGTATTTTCAAAATATTTTGAACCTCCTCAGCAAATAAGAAACTAGAGGCACAAGCTCTCGCATATATTACTGCCTTTCCGTGCAGACAGGAGCTGAGGATGTGAAAGCCCAAGCAGTCCTGCCTGAATTTCAGCCCCATTGTCTTAAGTGTTAATTAAATAATTTTCTCTCCAAGCCGGTAGTTCACTTGGTAGCATCTAGTTCGTCTGTGGCATGGCCCCACCACCTTCCCTGCCAACAGTACTGACCGGCTAGAGAGAATCTGGGAAGTGCTCAAGTACAGCTTTTGTAAAATGGGAGTGAGGGGGGACTGGGCTTGCAACCACAAAAGATCTCCACGGGGATGCTGCAAAGAAAAGTGGCAGGCTTGTTCTTACCAAGGCTGGGATTAGCATGGGAAGGGAAATACATGTGCAGTTTCCAGTCCAGATAGTAAGGACATTACAGCTGCATCAGGAAAGGGGCAGAATTGCAGCCCCATGTTCTCAGCACGTAATGGCCTAACAAGATGGCTTGGAGATCACAGAAACCATGGAAAAAATGAAAGGCTAGCTTAGGTCAATACCTCCCTGGCTAGAGTTTAACTTCTCTCACTCTGGACCAAGTCCAAGAACAGAAGGAACTTGAGAGTCTGAAGGACATCTCTAAGTTGAACAAATATGAATAGGTGAGCAAACGTATCTTATTCAAATAACTGACCTTGTGTTATTTCCAGACACACGGAACACTTCACCTTATGATATACGTATACATCTAAGCCCACATTTATCCAGAATTACTTATCTATCCAGGCTGTCACTTGCTGAGAATAATAACCAGAGGCATAAATAGCAGATCCATTCTGCTGCCTGGAAAATTCCAATAAAATTCAATCAATAAGGTCTGTATTAGAAACACACTCTTGAGTGGATCTTGGACAGAACAGCTCTGTGAGGGCATGTCTCACTGCAGGATACAAGATGAAATATTCCACCTACTAGTTCGTTTCTCTTTGCATCTACAGTAGCTAAAGGGAAATCAAATTTCTCATGATAAATATTGTGGCAAAAGTAATTTGAAGTTTGAGGAGTTCTTTGTTCAAGGGAGCTGCCAGCACCTGTAAGATCCTGAATGGAGACGTCTTAGTGTCAACTTCAAATGAGATAAGCCAGTTGCCATCCAGGAAGAATACAAGGGAATGAGAAAAGTGAAGGGAATATTAAAACTATTCAGCTCACAGCTGTAGGAAATAAGCAATTCACACATCTAAATTAGTAACTATGCTCCCCCTCAGAATCACTGATAGCTACTAAAATGTATGGGGAAGAGCTCTTCGTCATATAACACCTCGTGCTCCCTTGCAACTGCCATCTTGGATTGCTAAAAGAAAGTTTTGGTGTATGAGTCTGTCCCTGGTGTCCATGGCAATGACAAATGGCTCCTATGGTTAATTTTAAAATCAACTTCAGTGCCTACAAATTAGATGTCTTGTCTAGGCAAGTCATTTGTTCTCTGCTGTAGTCGGTGAGAAAAGGAGATGTCTCCAGGTGGCAACTTGTACTCCACCCTAAGGAATGGGGGTTGAGTTTGGTCTTAAACACAAAAAGGTGGACCAATGGACACCACCACTGATGAAAAACCCACTGTGAATATTTCAGATGGTAATTTTTTTTTATATATAAAATAAACTTTAATACTCCTCCTGTTTCCTTCATTTCCCACTCTAATGTGGAATCCTATTTGAGCCAAGGCATTAACCACTGGAACGTTTTTCCGAGGATAGATGCTTCATGGCATAAAGGCTTTCTATCGAGCCTGGGGGTCTGCCTGAAAACTCTGCTGAAATTCAGTGAGAGGTCACAGACTTCATGCAGGAATCATGGTACAATGTTACATGGCCAGTATAATGTGTGTGATGAGGGCAGGTGATCAGGATGGTCTTCTCAACTTAAAACCTGTTGCTCTTTCTTGCTGTTTTCTCAGTATTGTCAGATGCCCCTCCAGTGTGTTTATACAGACGACCACCACTGCCCCCATGGGAACCACTAGCAGTGCTGCCTGCACATCTCTGTGAGGACCTAATGGAAGAGGCAGCTTAGGCCTTTAAAGTTCCCCTGTGTGATGAATCTATTCACATGGGGATCACTGCCCTGATTTCCCAGCCTTTATATACTGTGGGAAATAAAATGCTATTATAAGACTTAAGACCAAATTAATGATTTCTGAAGTTCCAAAGGCTTTGCTGAGCCTACCCCAAGAGGATGACTTTAGCCAGTAGTGTCCTTGAGCTAAGCAAATTAGAAAGCCATGAATTATTTTTTAAAGCACCTTTGAAGGATAACACTAATGCAATAGAGTGGGTTGTGTTTGTAGCAAAAGGCAGCAAAACCGTTGTCTTCCCAGCATAAAAAAAATTCACATGCTAAACTCAAAACTAGCCTTCTTGAGCATGTCCTCACTGGGAGGCTTGATTTAACAGGCTGACTGAACCTTTTGGTCTGACATCCTCCCTTCTCTCTCTTGTTCCCAGTAGTCTGGGAAGTCTCAGAAAAACAAGTTTTCTCTCCCACCAATTCTCAACATCTGGGGCCTTGAAAGCATGATGGGGAGCTTGTAAATGATGATTTATTGGGATGGTAATTTAAATTTTCCCCAACTACAAGATTAGCTGTTGTTATTAATGACTTAGCTAAATTCCCAAACTTATCACCAATGCAATTACTTTTGGGGCTGTGGGCAGTTCAGGCAAAGGGAGAAGAAAAACCCCATTAATGACTTTTTAAAGTGGTGGTGGTGGCATCCTGGCTGACAGCACAAAATGGCCATGGGGTGTGTTAATCAAAGCAGAACAACAAGAATCGATTTCACTCTCTCCTTTCCTCCTCCCTGCAGAACCGTGAGCCCCGAACTCAAGTCTTATGCTTTGGGGGTGCTTTTCCTGCTGCTCCGTTTGCTAGGTAGGTACAAAAATTTCATGTCCTTCTTTCCTCCCTCACAGAAAATTGTATTTTTAACATAAAAATGTTGATTTCTACTCTGTGCAGTGCTGTGGTTGTCATGAGTGGGCTCTGACACAACAGGGTCCGAGCCCTCTCAATGAAGGATATCACATCAAGGCTCCTGAAGGCACTTTTCCTTTCATTTGAATTGTGCTAATGGAAGAAAATGTGGTGTTGCATGAGAAATGACCGTTTCTGCCATGGTCCCACGCAACCCGTTACTCTTCTATAGCTGTTATTAACATGTCAGCAGCTTGCAAAATTACTGCTGTATTGCATATTGCTGAAGTAGAGAGATATGTATTTTCGTCCTCCTTTGAGGTACAGGACCTCTGTTACATGGTGTGTTTTTCCCTTCCTTCGGGTCTCTCAGGAAGGGAAGCAGTGAAATGAGGCAGGCTGAGTCCTTGTATTCTCCTGTGGGTTAATATCCCATTAAAATGCATATGGCTGTTCCTCTGGACCGGCATGTGCTTCTCCAGTATGAATTAAAAGGAACACACTGGGCTGTTATTCACCTGTGTCTTGTTTCTGACTAGGAGGGTTTTTTCCCCCTTTTGAAGAGATGGCTTTTATTTTAAAGCTCCTATTTTTCAGCTCATTAATCTCAATGACTCAGGGTAAAATCCTCTCTGATCTGTCATTGTGCGGGTCCACCTCATGCACGGGGTTTCTGTGTGTTGTGGAGGTGGAATTTACTTTTTTTTTTAGGAGGGCAGGGGCAGTACCTGAATGACCTCCCCCAGTCTAAAAGGAATGATCTGGAGAGTAAAATGCCACCTCCTAGGCTGCAGCAAGGCACTAGGAAGTAGGGAACCAAAAATCCTGAAGTACTATACATTGCTTCGAGTAAGTGACCTCATTTATTTACTTATTTATTGTAACACCTTATTCCCCACTAGCTGAAAGAGACATGGTGGTCCCAGACCAATTTACAACAAATTCAATTAGATTTTCATTGCTTTCAGTGAGCTAACTATGGTCATACAGAAAGCTCCATCAAGCGATCTTATCCAGAGCTCAGATAGCTCAAAGGGAAGCTCCTGGGCTGACTTGGGTCAGCTCTGGTTTAAGCCTTGCAAAGATGGCATTTTCCTTAGCTCAAAGGGCTGCTCTCAGGTTCCAGCCTGTCTTCAGCTTTCACTGGCTGAATGCAGAGTGTCAGCAGGCAAGTGTGCGAGGAGAGGGGCTGTGGGCTGTTGTTTCCAAAGGAAAAAAGTACTTAAGGGGGGACCGTTTCTCTCTTTTCTCTTTTCCTTTCAAAAGAGAGAAACCTCCTGAGATAGTGGCATCTTGAATTCCTTCAAAATCAGGCTCAGACATGTATGCTGAAGTTGAATAGACCTGCTTTTTCCTTTCAATAAAGAAGCCATAGTAAAAATTTAAACTCAAATCTTCATATGTTGCCTTGTCACTAAGGAATTCCCATGAAATAAGACAATACATCCTGAAGCATATCAGCAATGTAGCTTGAACCCATAGAAAATGAAGAGCAAGGGACTTTTCAATACGAGCAAAGGTATCCAGATTTTGTCCTTAACAACCTGAGGTTTGAGAATAGCTTTACTGATTTATTTTAAAAGCTTTTCAGTTCACCTTTAAGCTCTGACTTAAGAAGAGAGTGATAATAGCTGCTTCTTGAACCAAAGGAGAGTATTAAATATAGGAGGTATGAGACTCGGAGGTGCAATCGTAGCTAATAGATTTCAGTAAGACAGAAGCAGCTTTTTTTATACAGCCCTACAGTTTCTTCAGTGAAATATATATATATAGCAGAAATTTTTGCAACACTTTGCAGTAAGAGGTAAAATATGATTGAATCTCTTTAATATTCACCGTAATAACATGAAACAAGACTGAATTCTCCTGGTATTCTCCTGGATGTATTATCTTATTCCACAGGAATTCTGCTGTGAGAGGGCAGCGTAAATGTCTTCATATAAAAGTGTTACTGCAGTTTCTCAGAGAAGAGAGTAAAGCAATGCTGTTGGAGCCAAAGGCTTGGAATGGAAATGTCTGGAATGTCAGATTTTTAGACTTGTAAGGTCCCAGACACATCCCTTCTGGATGGTGTTCACCACGCATCCTAGCAAAGCCCCTGCTTACCAGGGCACTTCCTTTTGTTTTTCCTACAAGCCCACGTTGCTTGCCTCTCTTCTTCCAACATGACAAAAACACAGTGTTTCTCTCTCAGAAGGGCTTTTCAATCTGCAGTGCAGCCCTTCAACTCCCACGTCTCAGAGGGTCAAGGCACTGAGTTGTTTCTATGAGTCTCTTGTCCTCTCCTCTGATAAAAGTGACCTGAAACACTCACTGGTTGCTAAGAGTTTTTCATGTATTTTTCTTTAAGGTTTCCACATCCGTGCCTTCATCCACATAGGTGTAGCTTTGGAATTCAATGAAACAAGTCGTTCCTCAAGTCTTATGAGGAACAATTTCCAGGCCAAATTATCTTGAAAACCTGGAAAGCCAGCTGAAGCCAGCAGATGGGGATGATAGCGCTCTCTGAAGTTCAGCCTATACATCTCCAAAGCTTTGCATCAGCATCTCTCATCATGTTAACAAGTAGGGGCTCACACCTCAAAATTATGATCCAAATAGAGTTTTCTCTTAGTCCAGAAAATGTGCAGCTCCTGGTTGGTCACTGCCACATCTGGATGTTACCCCCTTAGGTGGCATCCAGCGCCAGTGCAGCACTGGGCACACAAACCACATTCAGCAGCACAGTTTCTTTGCTTGTTTCTGGCAGGAGCCCAGCTGTATTTTTACATTTCAGGTTGAGGGTGTAGTTATCCACAGGTCTCAAAAAAAAAAAAAAAAAAAAAAGCATCTTTTAACTTAGAAGTAGAAACAGCCCAGTGTGGAATTTCCAGTCATTGAAATGACAAACAGGGGGCTGGTGCTGACATTTTTTCCAGAACATAACCAGATTTTTAGATATGATGACTGGAACTAGTGTTATAACAAAAGGATTGTCTTGCTTTTCTGTCATCTGGGGTTTTTTTACTACATTTGTGCTATTAATGACTGGTTAAAATGAGTACCAAAAGCCCATATAGTCTTTCTTAACTCCTGATTTTATTTACATATAAGGGAGATCAAACAAAATCTGCAGAGCACTAGTCGTCAACAAAATAAAATACAAGACAACCAATTTATTTGTAGTCTTGGGATATATGTCATGAATGTCACGATTTTGTTCATGGCAAGCTCAAGGAAGATATCTTTTTAAAGCCTGGAAATCCAAGTTAATGATGAAACTGGATCCAAGATGAAACATTTTTCTGTCTAGAAACTGCAGCCATTGTGTCTGTTTGTCTGCACGTGTATTTATAGAATCTCAGGCATCACAGCACTTACTAATGGAGTGATACTGTTAAGGGTATGTTGTGCCCACCTGCTATTTGGTTTCAACAGATACTGTGCTCTTCTTCGCTTGCTATTTTAACACACAGCAGTGATTTTATCGATCAGAGGTTTTTCCAGGGGTTATGTGCTTCCAGCCTCCCCCCCATAAATGTAACAGAAAGAAGATATATGGTTTACATTATGTAGAACATCCACATTTTCTTCTGAGTGCTGCACACTTGGTGCATGTTTGCTGGCTGGAGAGTGCAAAACTGAAATGTGGATGTCCTAACCACCATCGGGGTAATGTGAAGCAGGGGGCCTCTACGATGTCCCTGTAGGATGGAGAAAAGTAGAGAAGAAAAACATTGCCTTTATTAGTTAAATGAGATTTGAATGATTACTTTGCTTTAAGATTGTAGCTCTGCTGCAATCTATGATTGAGAAACACTCATCAGTAGTTAGCTGCAGTGGCTGTGGGAGAATCCTGCTGTGATATTTCATTTAATGGCGCACTGAAATTTTCCCTTCTTTTCAGATTTAATCTTTGGCGTCTATTAGAGGCCATTGTTTATTTTCCTTAGACTTGCAGAAAACTTTCTTCTGTGTCAGGGAAAGGTCCAAAACTAGACCTCAGTGCCTCAGCTGATTTCAGGCTCTGAACTGGAGTCCTATGACAACCTTCAGGTGAACACTCCAGAGTGCAGAATTGCCAATATTGAAACAGAGAGCAAGCTGAAAGGCTGTCCTCCTCCTCTTTCATTTACCCCTCCGCTCAGTCTCATTAGGCAAATGAGAAGCTTAATAAAAGCCACTTAAACTGGAGTAAAATCCTTCCTGCATGTTGATATCAGCAGGAATCTCTTCTGTAGACATTGAGTCCAAGCTAAAAACTCATCCACAGACTTTGTTTAGGTTGATTTAGAATTTAAAAAATTAGAATCACAGGCTGTAGCTGAGTCTTAACCTTGATAAAATATCCTCTCTTTCCACTCACTGCAATCACGTCTTTTCTCTTTATTGTAAGGATCATAAAAGCATGATTTGTCTCTCTTATTTTGACAGGTTTTATCCCACCTCCGCTGATCTTTGGGGCTGGAATTGACTCCACGTGTCTGTTCTGGAGCACGTTCTGTGGCGAGCAAGGAGCCTGTGCGCTGTATGACAACGTGGTCTATAGATACCTGTATGTTAGTATTGCTATAGCCCTGAAGTCTTTTGCATTCATCTTATATACAACCACCTGGCAGTGCTTGAGGAAAAACTATAAAAGATACATCAAGAACCACGAAGGTGGTCTCAGCACTAGTGAGTTTTTTGCCTCTACTCTCACCCTAGACAATCTGGGGCGGGACTCGGTGCCCCAAAATCAACCACATAGGACAAAATTTATCTATAACCTTGAAGATCATGAATGGTGTGAAAATATGGAGTCTGTTTTATAGTGACTGTGGAGGGGTGAACTATATTAATAATACATGGGTCCTTTTTAATAAAAACAAGAAGAGAAAACGAATGAAGAAACACGACTGCAAAACAACAATGGCAACACAGGAAACTTTTGTCTTTTTCTCAAAGTCACACCCAGCCAGGATTCTTGAGAACAGCATCTTTTAATGGGATCATCTGTGACATCCTGCGGGGTGATGGAGACATCAGGGAGCCGCTGTGGCTGGGTACCAGCCCCTTTGATGACAGCACGAGCTTCCAGGAAGGGCGTCTGCAGAGGTTCACCAGCGAGCTCGGCAAACTGACAGGCTTGGGCGTAGAGAGAGCAAGGTGATAACAGCGATGCTGGAATAGGCGTTTGCGGTTGCAAACAGGGCCCCAGGGATACGTGGAGCCCCGCAGCAGGGGCTGGGGGGCTAGACAGGCTAGGTGCTGTTCAAACTCGCTGCGCTCTGTGATGGCAAAGAGGGAGCAGTGCTGGAGTTGTTCCACCCGTCACACTCTGTCACCAGCCACGAGGCCACGATAAATACCTTGAAAGCTGCTGGAAACCTTCCAGGTGGCGAGCAATGCTGTCAGAGGTATCCAAGTCCTTCCAGCCGAGGCTTATTCGCAGATCGCAGCTCTGTGGTTGTCTGTGAAGAGCTGTGCTCAGATCTCTCAAATCCAGTAAAGTTCAAGACATTTGCTCACACTTGCCAAACGTGCTGTCATTTTTAAAGGGGGATGAATTCCAAATACTTGTCTGTGTAGTCCTCTAAAAAAGAATTTTTTTAAAAATTATTTTCAAATCTGTGTTAACCCTTAAATCGCTGACACTTTTCCATAGGGAGGATTTATTTATGCTATTTTGGGGAGGAATCCTGTTTAATTCACCCAAACATAATGTGACACGAGGGGTTTGTTTAATCCTCTGCGTTTTTTATCCATACGCCTTCATTCTAATATGCTACCAAGCCAATGAAGACACATAACATGTTTTTAAAAAAGAGAACGAATGCACTGTGTCTCTATGAAAACAATTGTCAGTTGGAGAATTATAGATAATATGATGATTTACATAATATAGTTTTTTCATATTCTATGTGACTCAGTGAATACACATATATATATATATTTGGAGAGGCGTTTATGTTCTCTCTAGTTTTTAAAGATATATATATATAATTTGCAATCTAGAAATTGTCTGGTGGATGTTTTCTTTAAAGTAAGCGTGAGTGTGTGTGTGTGTGTGTACAAGATGAAATGAATACTGACCTTAATCCTGCGACACTCACATTTGATTTATTTTTTTTCACCTGAGAAATTCCACTGACTTCAGTGGAAGCCACGTGAGGAAGGTAGAATAATCTCCTCTCCTGGAGGCCATGTTTTGCCCTTAGATGTGCAAAAAGTGTTCCTATGGAAGGCTAGGTTATGGGAGCAGGGGCTGGTCAGCATTGAGCTTCTCTGAAATGTTCATTCAGATTCTCAAGAGGTACCCATGCAGGAGCAGATTTGGCTTTGCTTTTGCAATGCAGTCTTATCTAAGCCTGCAAAAATCATGGGGAAGCTTTCATCTAGTTTCGGGAAACATGGGTTCAGGCTTATTTTGCATGCATGTTTTTCTTTTCCAAAACATTCCTGCTGGGAAGCAATACAAATTAGTTGTGTTTGATGAGGTTTCCCCAGGAACCAGACCCATTTCCAATGGATTAAATGTCAGAAGGGTTTTAAGGGTTAGCATCATACTCAAAAAGCTCCTTTTTTTTCGTTTGTATTTTGAAGCTGTCGTGAACTTGCAGATGTTCAGAGAAGTAACCTGGCATGTTGAACCGAGTGCTGAACGTCACTTCCATGCAGCTGGTAGAGGGGCTGATCTTCCCCAAGTCCTTGTCCATTGCTGGCAGTGGACACCCCAGAGTTGGCACAAAACCAGAAGGTTGATAACTTGCCACTCATGTTCAACACTTTTTTAGCAGACTTTGCTCTTATCTAGGCATTGAAACATGGGTGTGGGGTATCAAACTGCTTCCACCTGACTGACTTTACATGCGTGTTTGTAATTTATGCACAGCGGTATATGTTCAGCAACAATAAGGGCAAAAAAAAGAAAAGGGTGTATCAAATAATCTCCACTGTGCCAAATACTCAACAGATATTGTAACTGCAGATATTTGATTCTTGGTTTTCAGCCACGTTAAGAATCACTTGATTAATGAAGAAATGTAAGGGAAAAAAAAAAAGTTATTAAGCTATGCAGTGCCATTGTTATGTTGGGTGGTAAATGATGCTTTTTAGACCATTAGATTGGTTTAGTATATCCTGTCTGCTAAAATAGAGATACTGCATCCATAAAACAATTAATTTAAAAAAGGCACAGGGTGCATAACTGTCTCATAAAATATGTATAATTGTCAAGTATAAGCCTTTGAAATCATTCTGTACAGTTCTCTTCATTCTGCAAATTTATTACTTAGACTGCTGTCTTTTCAAATGTTAGCTCATAATTTTATACTGTACACACACATTCAGACTCGAACACAAATGTCACAGAATAGAACCTTTCTAAAAGCTTCATCGCTTGAAATTCTATAACCCCTTTCACAATTTCAATTTTTTCCCCTCTGAAAGTCCAAGGTAGAGGAGAATAGCATGCTGACATGATGGAAAACAAACTCCCGGTGTTCAAGAGCCGTGGTTTGTCAGTACAGTCAAAAGTCCCCCTTGACCAGAGTTACAGAAGCAGGATTCCAGGGCACTCAGTGTTTTCATTTTTATTTTTGTTTATTATTTTTCATTTAATCTCTTTTCTTGCTATGTATAGGAGATGCAGTTGAATGGGTTACTTACACTGTTTATAAGCTGTAACTTGAAATCCCTGCATGATTGTTGTTTTATTTCATTTGATAATGCAACTTTTGAAAAGCTCTCTCTCCATCCCACTCTTTTTTTTTTTTTTTTTAAGGATGTATCATATGCCTGCATCATGAAGGGCTTTCCCATCAGTGCTTTGGTACAGATTCAAGAACAGAGCTTTAGTTTAAAGAAAATACACAGACCAAAACCTTCATTCATCCCACCAGGCTCTTTGTTTTTCCTGTTTTCAAAACCACAAGCCAGTTTTGCCTGCAACCCAATTTTTGTTACAGAATAACAAATGAAGAGTCTCAGACATCCTCCTGCTTCCCAAATTGCAGTATGAGCCTTCGCCTATCAGCTCTTCGCTTCCATCCCGCAACTGCCTTAACCATGCAGGAAACTTAAGAACAAGGATGGAGTTAGAAAAATGTCAATTCCTGGAAATAGAAAAAGGGGCATGGTCTGAGCTGTGCAGTCCAGATCCAATGTTGGAAACTTTCCCTCCATGTTCAGGAGCATTGAAATTCAGGGTTTTGTTGAGACCTCAGTCTCAGCAGAAATGTTATTTTGACATTCCAAGCACTGTGTTTCCTGCATGGCTGTCTGCTAAGGAATGGGATGTTTGAAAAAAATAAACTCCTTGAGATTTAGCAGTCTGTATGGGATTGTCCAGTTGCCTTGCATGACTTCAGGTTGGGGTTTCCTTTCCCTTGCACAGATACCACCTTGGTGTAGCCCCAGTGGAATCAAAAGGGGACCCCAGTCTAAAATTGGTGCAGATAACACTAGAACCATTTTCTTTGCATCCTTGTTATCAAGGGGATGCATTTTCAGAACCTTCTTTTTTATACATACTGAAATGATAACATTTTTCTGACTTTGCCCAATACATCTCGGATGTATAGTGGGACCAAAAAGGCCATCACTTGAATTATCTAGACAAACCTTCCATTCCTTGGAAATTCAACTAATAGGGGCCTCACTCTGCCATAGCCCTGTAAGATGCACTGAACTACTCAGTACTGCTACTATTAATCTCAGCTGGGTCTCGCCTTGCAGAGAAAGTGAAAAGGGAAAGATGCAGAGAGGAATTAGCTTCATTTAGCTGAATTAGCTATGCTTCAAAATGCTTCAGAATTCAACTGATGATCTGCAGACATTTGGAAAGTGCTTGGAGTATTTCCAAATGGCTGAGATGCATTGGCATTTTTATATTAAAAAAAAAAGGAAATTAATGAGATTTGGAGTTCCTCCTATCCCCATCAATGGGGACAATGTACTTCAGGTTTACCTTTGTGATCAAGACATGTATTTTTTCTCAGTAAACAAGGTCCTGGGAAGCAGAAAGGGGACTCCATCTTGTAACCAGCAGTTTCACTCCACAGCAAACCTGACACAACCCGAAGGTTACCAGCACTGTGAAGCTTCAGCCCCCAAGTCAGTAACAGCTGTTACTGCTGTGTGAGAGTTTCTCACAGCTGGGTGTGTTGGGCTCAGTATTTTCTTAAGGCTTGGACAATCTTGGTGTGAAGTTTGTTTTATTCTTGGCAGGTGGCATGAGGAATGGTCAGTATTAAAGACATGCAAATGTTTCCCTGGACTGATGTGATAACAGCTTTGTTACTTTACTCACAAGGGTTTCCAGACTTATTCCCACTCTGCCTTTGGACACAGCCATGCTTATCTATCTCCCTAATTTCATGTGGACTATCTTTGCAGACACAAGCAGTTTGCTGTTGATCTCTCTCTAGATCTGCTTAATGCCTGCAAAGTTCACAGACTTTCTGTGCATAGGGCAGAGCACCCTTGAATATAAGCAATAATACTGACCTGTTCCCACTTGCATTAGGAGTTTTTGCTTTTTTTATCTAAATCCAAGTTCACCCGTCCCAACATCCTATGCTGCTGCTGTGACTTGCCTTTTTTGTTGGCAGCAACTCCAGGAGACTCTCAATACTCTCCTTTCCTTCAAACACGACACCCTCCTGTCCCAACAAGGCAGCCAAGATATAATTGGTGTGAACGTAGGCAGCAGTTTATTAAGACAGGCAATCGTATGATGGGAGCCTTTGGCATGAGCCAGGCTCAGCTTCAGTTATCTGATGGTTGAGATTGATCCAAGGAGGAAAGGAGCAACCAGGGCATTGTGGCTGAGCCTCCCGGAGTCCCTGAAAGGATTGTCCAGCTCTTCAGTGCTGCTGGATGAGCCTGCCTGCCCTACCTCCCTGAGACCCACAGTTCATGGACATTTCTTCCAAACTGACTGTCAGCTTTCTTCCTCCAGCCGCAGCTCTTCCTTCCTCCCGATGGCAAAGCACAGCTCAGCTCTACCAAGTCAATATGAGGTGGTCAGAGTTATTGCATGGCATTTAAATTTGCCCAGGATGCCAGCAGGTCTCACTTAGGATAACATATGCTCAAAATATTATAGTTTGTTCTGCTTTTATACACTAAATCTATTACTTCTAGGCTGCAAATTATGTTTTCTATCATTCCATTGACATTTCTAGCAATCTGAGTCTTAATATATTTGCTTCGCTGAAAAATGGCCTTTCAGCCATTCTTAGACATTAGGTACTTCTTTATTAACTAGTGATACCAAGTAAAATCTTTGGCCCTTGTCTGTTCCATGAATCCAGTGGAGCAGAAGGAGGCTCTGTCTTCTCAGAAGCAATACTGGTATTTTCTTTGACAGAATATGAACATGGACAGCTTTTCTTTCAGCATCAGTCTTGCCACAACTGCTTGGCTGTAAGCATCCCTCAGTCCCAAAAGAACACAGGGAATTCAGGAGGATCCTGAATGGACACAGGAATCCATTTAGATGGCTACAAGAGTGGGACCGTAGGAT